ATTTTATAATTTTTTGTTGTTTTATCTAAGAGCAAGGAAGCACCAATTATGAAAATAACAACATATATCTTGTAACTTGTGTGTTACAGTGATGCAATTCAGATCCTTTATTTAAGTAAAAGTACTGATACCACAGTGTGAAATTACTCCATTACAAGTAAATGTCCTGCATTTAAATTAGTATTTCTGATGCAGCAACATTAATGTTAATGTTGTAGCTGGTTAACATGGAGATAATTTTAACTAATTAACTTCTCCTGGACATCCAATTTTATTAGATGATCATGATTCTTATGTAGAATCTGCAAATAATTGCCATAAAATAATCTTGTGGAATAAAAATTACAATATTTCTGGAACATATAATATGAATTAATATGTTATTATTAATATTGAAATGTAGTGAAGCAGAAGTATGAAGTTATAAAGTATAAAGACACTGAAGTGAAGTAGAAGTGCCTCAACATTTAGTACAATACTTGACTAAATGTACTTTGCTATGTTCCACACTGGTGAATAGGAGTATTTCAGAATATTAAGCTTTGAGTTGGCCTAAATCAAAAGAAGACAACTCTAAATAACCCTCTTGTTGGTTAAGAACAAGTGGCTAAAGCTACAGTAAGAACATGAACAGACAGTGACTACAAAAAGTTGCCTGGTGAACAATCCCGATATGTGTTCGAACACGTTCATGAGCATGCTGTAATGCTCATGAACGTGTTATAATACAGCACAAGTTCATGGATTCACCCTACCTGACGTCAACAGTCATGTGATGTTTTCTTGGCGTCAGGCTTTTGTGTTTGAATGCTGAAACATTGTTAGTGACCAGGTAACAGCCGTCACAGCCACAGGTTAGAAATCTCAGCAAGGTGAAGCATTATTGTTTTAAGATGCTTTAATAAAGGTGGCTTTAGTTAATTTCAGAGACCTGTCTAATTTTTAGGGATGTAATGATAGTCCAATATTTTTGTCATTTATGTACTTCTAAAAAATCACCATCATTTTACAAAACAGTCCTAAATCAAGGACTACTTACAAGCTTTTTCTGGAGCTTTCAACTACATCTCACAGCCTTCATCAGCAGACTCTATCAAGTGCAGAGTTTGCTCAACTCTTTAATGGAAACTGGCCAGGTGTACCAAGTAAAGTGGATATTAAGGGTGTATACATACATGTCAAATCTTTGTTTGAGTGTCTGTGCATATGGACAGTTTGTAATTATGCATCATCTCGTGTCATTAGTCATAAAATGCAGCTTCCTGACACTGACGTCACAAAAGGTTTGGCCCTGACTGCTGAACCCAAGTATTGAATTTCTTGATCTTTGCACTGTGCCACTGCATAAGAACCAATACCTCGAGTTAATCTGACTGGATAAACTGACAGGCTTCTCCCCCCCTGTTAGAAATTGAATGTCCTTGGTTTTAATGTTTTTTAATCTCTTTTCGCCCATACCTTTGTCCCATAGTGAATGTAATTATGGCTTAGTATTAATCTGTGGGGGTGTGAGGGTCGGTCCCAAAGGTTTATTCATTCATGGAGGAGAGGTTTACACCGCCTGCTGTGTGGTTTTTAAATTTCTCAACAGATATACTTAATCCACACTGAGATTAAAAGCTCTTACTGCATAAAGGAATCAACTTTGATCACTACATGTACTTTGTGTACTAAGATCTACCTTTACAGTGACAGATTTAAGTCTCCCTTATGCTTCCAAACCAGATTTACAAATACACACATGGGATGAAGACGTGCTGGCTGACAAACCTGCATTAACAGACTTGCAGGTGTTTTGTGCTCACTGCTTTGTATCGATAACTCAGTCTAAAGCATGTAGTCTTTCTCCATTTGGACCTCCAGTAATTCATCATTAACACACACCTGCATGTTTGTGTTTTAACACACATCTGTGTGTTTGCCAATTTAATCATCTGGCTTTTTTGTGCATTATGTTTTTGAAAATGGAAAATCAGAGTCTATCAGTCAGAGAACCTATTGTGATGATGATGTTTTTGAGGCATTCTGTGTATTTATGCATCTGCTTGCCTGCACATGTATGTACTGTACGTTTGTGTTTTGGAGTAAATCAGTCATGAATGCTGGTGCCTCACAGGAAGTGGGTTCTGAGGGTGTTTGTTTGAAGTTTGCATGATATTGCGGGTTTCCTCCCATATTTGAAAGAAATCCAAGTCGCTGTTATTTAGAGGATACAGATTGTGTATGAATGTGTCGATGTCTCTGTGTGTAAAGAGCTGTGAAGAGACGGTCCAACCAGTGCATATCTGGTTCTGCTCCTGCAACCAACTCCATTATCCATATCAGGAATAAGCAGCTAAAAAATGAATCTAAAATACTCTTTTAATTGTCACACAGAGAGTCCCACTCAGAACCCCTTCAACCGCACACTGTCTCCAGCCAGGAGGGACGAGCTGGCCAAGATCAGACAGAGGCAGCTGGCCAATGCGGTTCACTACATCTGGGAGACGGGAGAAGACAAGTTTGCTTTCAGATACTTTCACACAGGTTTCTGGGAAAGCTGTGAGAAACACAGCGATGGTGAGACCACAAAACACACGGCTAATCACACAAAAACTGGGTCAACTTTAGTTAAACTTTTAAGAAAATTTTAAGGTTATTTTCAGTCTCAGTTCTTAACAAAATATTTTCTTTTGAACTGAAATAATGTTTTCTATCCTATTTATTTTGTTGGCAGGGGAGAAATGTCGAAGCTTTATAGAGTTAACACCTGGAGAAACACAAGGTGAGTTATGTATCAGTGCCAAAATATAAAAACAATATTATTATTAGCCTCCTTTAAGCATTTATAAGGATGCATGTTTGTTAACTGTGTATGTATTTTCGAATGTCGCAGGTGTGCTCTGGCTGTCAGTTATTTCAGAGTTTACATACATTGGTCTCTTGGGGATGGGCTTCTTACTGATGTGGCTGGAAGTCTTGTGTTCCCATAAAGAGATGCACTCACTGAAAATCAATGCCTATGCAGCTATCTGTACTGTGTTATCAGGTGAGACTTAGTGTCCTTCAGTTTTACATTACTATATAATCACCTCCTTCTACATACATCATTCTCTTTTTGCATTGTCATATTTGTTTTCTAAACTAAGTTAACCCCCATTTGTTCTGTCTGTTGTTTGTTTCATCTCCCCTGTAGGTCTCCTTGGGATGGTGGCCCATATGATGTACACCACAGTATTTCAGATGACAGTCATTGTGGGCCCCAAAGACTGGAGGCCTCAGTCCTGGGACTACGGCTGGTCATTTGCGTAGGTGGCTGCTCTTTAGCGACAGCATATAAACATGTATTATTCAAGCATATGCATAAAGTACTTGTTATTTACAGGGTATTTTTCTCTTCTCTCTTTAATTATTCATAACCTCCTCTGTTCACAGTCTTGCCTGGGTGTCCTTCAGTTGCTGTATGGGGGCAGCTGTGGTCACACTCAACTCTTACACAAAGACCATAATCGAGCTCCGTCGCAGACAGAGGCTCCGTTTGGAGGAAGCAAGAGCTGCCACTCACGCTCCTTCCTATGACGAGGTTGTTCCAGGTGGCGGGCTCTACTCTGTCAGCGGCTTATTGCAGTGTCCAGACGGCATGATTGACGTAGCGTGGGCCCCGAATGGCAGCGTGGTTGGAGTGGGGAATGGGGACGTACCGACGTTGGTTTTAGTAGGTGGCTGTGGGCCAGAGGGGTGTGAAGACTGTGAGAGAGAGATGGATGAGATGGAGGAGGCCATGGACCGAGTTGATTCGCCTTGTTAGGGGATCGTTTATGTCCATCAACTAAAAGGGCTGAAAAACTCAAAAAAGGAAAGACACTTTTGCTGTGCTGGAGAAGGATCAATGTGAGCGAACACATCCTGTTTTTCTTCCTCTTTGACTTTCAATGAAGTTGGGACATACTAATGCACTTCAAGGCCAGTGAAATCACTACATATCAAAATGTAAAGACTACAATGTATGTATAGGTCACACTGGCATATAAGACTGCATGTTTTCTAGGTCTCAGTGCCTCATGGTAGGAAAGTAAATGCATGTCTCTATATGTTAATGCATATATGTTTATATTATTTTATTGTTTATATATTAACATGCAATCTATCAGGACAACAACAGTCATCTCAATGAGCATTTAATTGCATAATGGATGGTTGTTTCTTCTCCTGTTGATACCTAAACAGAACAGCCTGTCCTTTAGAGTAAATATACAATATTTTATCTGAGCGGGACATTCAACATGCTCATCTCTCTTGTGACAAACTTTGGACAGATACAGCATTTTGATGTAATGCATCAAAATACAGGGAGCTACAAACAAACACGGCCTCTCTGCAGATGCGCAGACAAACCCATAAGATAGACACATAGAGATAGAAAGATTACAGAGATTTTGAAAAGTCTGCTCTCTGATGTTGAACAGAAGATTATGTGTAAACCAGTAATCCCGAGTTGGATGGGAAAAAGGAGGAATAGAGTGAGGAGAGATGGTAGGCATGTGAAGGGGTGGAGCAGGTTGTGGGGGGTTGAAAGTTGGAAGGAAATGCAGGCATGCACACCCACAGACTGCACACACACACAACAGTCTGCACCATGAAAACACTTTCAGGGAAATAATTGTTTTTAAATGGATATTACACTCTGGTATTTACTGTGTTTACGTAAAATTATACACACAATAATTTCTTAAGTTAAATAAATGTACTTACATTGACTTTAGGAATGTCTGTATGTTATACATTTGGGATAATCCTGGATTTGCTGTCTGGGATAAATACAATTGAAAACTTAAGACCGAAAGCACCATTTTTGTCAACTATCATCATTATATTATACAGTATGTTTCTAGGCCATGGGGGAATTTATTGTTTTTTTGGGAAAGATAAATAAATTGATTTTCAAGGCGCAGGTGTATGAGAAAACCTTTAATTTATTGTACAGTGAATAAAGTACAACCCTTGAGAGCTACAGCCTCTATTAAGACATTTCCAGTTCTGTAAAAAAGCTTTAATGAGCCTAACAGTCGGGCATGATACTTCATTATAATTGTCATTAATAACATTAATTTAGATAGATATACAAACTATATATCAGATCAATATAGTCACCATAAATCATCTTTTTAGCTAGAAACATTTTAAAACACTATGCCACAATTGACGTCTTTTAGCCTCTATTTGATATAAATACATTGACAAACATTAGTAAAAGTGAGTTGAAACCAAGACACTGCAGAGAAGAGTATTTACACAGCGGGGTTGAGTGAAGTAAACAGGTGGAAGGAGAAAGCATCTGAGGCTGGAAAAAAATAAAAGTTCAACAGAAGAGAGCGAGTCTAACTAGGGGCAGGAGGAGAGGAGATAAACTAGGAACGAGTTTATTGATTGACTGGTTCGTAGTGGATAAGACGCATTGCATTCTCATTTTCAATCACTCCTTGGATGAACTCCCCTTCAGCCAGTCGCTCTATGAGGGCAAAAAGAAAGAGTAAGAGATGTTATGTTATAGTGGGACAAAAAGGGTAAACAAGATGTACAGCATGGAGTGTGGGGCAAAGATGAGGTTGAATAATGACTCTTATCTAAGAAATCCGGTCTTATCTCCTGTGTGGGTGTGTTTGTGTGTGTGTGTGTGTGTGTCTGTGTGACAGTAGCATGCAATGCAGTGGAGTCACTTGAGGCTTGCATGACACAAGTGATGCTGTAACTAGGGATATGGCCCCAGGTGGATTTATTGCTTGTATTATTATTAAGCCTAACAGCTGATGGTAAAATGTAATCTTCAGTACAGGATGTAAGAACAGCTGCTGAAGAAAGTTAGTAAGAGCTTAAGCTGATTTTATCTTTCTCTAACATAAATACAAAGGGGATAAGAACACAATGACCTGTCATGCACTGCGGGGTCATAATGTGTAGACACGTGTTATTTCACTCACCGTTGTCTTTCTTTTCGAAGTAAGACCACAGCTTGTTGGCTCTCTTCTCGGGTGTGTTCTCATCCTCTGGTAGCTTGCTCTGCTCCTCCTTGGGGATCAGCTTAAATATGGCCTGAGAGGGGGTTGGGTATAAGATCGGTGATAAATGCTGCATCATTTCTCTCACAGAAATAATGTATGGAACGTCAACAGAGCACATAAATCAAACGTGTACAAGCCGAGAAGCGTGGAGCCTGTAAGACAAGTGAGTAAGCTCATTGCCTTTTTAGGTTAATTAGGGTCTCGTGTGTATGTGTGGTTTATCGAGCCTCTGATGCAAAACAACTTGACATTTCGAGAAAAGCTACAAGCCAGTACTTTCTCCTTGTGATTGTCTTATGTCTAGTGCCTGATTACTGTTATTAGCCATTGCATACTCTGCAATTTGGCTCAACACAACCAAATCAAATCTTACACAAACTGTAACCTGCAATCCCCACATGACAGCTGATTTGCCTACCAAATGAAGCTAGAATAGCGATCTAGGGGGTCTTTGCCATCACAATTTACTTGTTACTTGTAGACTGGTTGTGTCCAAATTAATGATCAAGCAGCTCACAGCAGCACATTCAGGCCTGTGTGTCATTTTTAAGAGACAGTTAATCTGCAATGTGCCACTTGGAATGCAGCAGATTGTAAATGACTGTGCACTTTAGGTTCAGGTCTTTAAGTGTGTGTCCCACTTAGAGAGGGAGCACTCATCTCCCATATTTAAGACACCTAGATTAACATGGATTAGTGCCAAGACTCAGGCCGCAGGCCAAACACCAAGATGTCATGTCTTTTCTCCCTAGACTGTCCCTCCACTTTGCCCCTCTGATCTTGTGGTCTGTAAGGTTCACACTATGAGATGGTAGGTGACAAGTAGATACTGGTCATTTTTACAAGAACCAGATCTTTATCAAGCAGTCAGATGCAAATGTTGATAGCCTGTATCACTACAGACACACTGTATTTACACCCTCTCTTAACTAGTCTAGCCTATCAGTGTAATGTACGATACTAGACTAAACTAATATTGGCTAGTCCTGCCTTCCTCATTTGCTTGTTTCCCACTTTAAACCCGCACATGAAAGCAGATATCTTTCTGTAATAATGATATTATCTTCTGTGCATATAGCACATCTGTTTTGCTTACCTCTCCATGGTCTAATTTTGTTGTAGGTTGTTGAACCTTTGGCAGGGTGGCTTAAAATGTAGCTATTTTGTGCATCAGTTGTAAACATGATGCATATGGACACAAGCCAGTTGGCCAGGAATTAAATCCCATTACCATGCCAGCTGGATCCTCAGCTGATCTGTCTAAACCTCTTACAAATCTATTTCATTTGTCTAAAAACTTTACAGCCTTCATCCGACTGACTTTTAATTATATGAAAACAATGGCTAAAAGCTATTATATAGTAATTTACATAAATAAATCTAACAGTTCAAAGTGGCAGCCTGGTGAATAAAAGAAACATGGATTAGACTCAGGGATGATGAGCAGTTGCTCTACTGATAGAGCAATACAAGAGTAGCCTTGCTTAAGAGTAGGACTGCCTACATTGTCTGAGAGCTGAACCTGTCATCACACAGATTATCAGGAGTTTGAGGCTCACATAGGCTGGTTTATTGGGCTGGCAATTAGTACTGAGACCTGCATACCATGAGAGAGATGGTACCTTTTCATTTTACAAGGACTTTAACAGGAGTGAGCACACAAAGAAGAACTGATGATGATGCAATATGATGCAGTCCATCAATTATTCTCCAAAGCGATTGCTTCGAAATGACCATAAAGTTAAATCGAAAACTCAAAAGTGAACAAAATTGAACACTATAAACTTTAAAAAGTAGTATTCACTACAAGACTATTATATTTGATTGCATTATGTCAAGTAATAAAATATTATATGTTTATAATAGCAATACAGATGAACATTATGGTAAAATAAAATAGCCTTTCTGTCCTTAGCATTCCTAGTCAACAGTTTGATACTACTCTCTATAATAGAAGAATATCAAATTAATTTCTATCAAAAGAAGCAAAATGTTTAGAAAAAGATATATCATCACACTGTAGAAACAGTGGATACAATGAACAGCTCACACTAGAACCAGGAGAGTCTCATCTTTTGATCCCTACTGTGTTACACCGCTCACCTGGCAGATCTCTGTCACTTCTGTCTTGTTGATGTATCCGTTCTTGTCTACATCAAACAGTGAGAAGGCCCACTCCAGTTTTCGGGTTGTCCTTCCAGTGGAGGTCATGTGCAGTGCAATGATGTACTCCTTGAAGTCCAAAGTGCCATCATCGTTGGTGTCAAAGGAGCGAAACACATGCCGTGCGTAGCTCTTGGCATCGCTCTCAGGAAAGAAGCGGGTGTAGATCTGCTCAAACTCTTCCGGTGTTATGCGCCCCGTCGGGCACTGCTTCTGGAAGTTCTCATACCACTGGCTGATCTCATGTTCAGTGAAAATGGTGCTGAGCTTCAGGTCCTCCAGGATCTCCTTTGATAATGCACTACTGGTTGAATTTCCCATTGTAGTTGCTTTGAGTTTCTTAGTAGAGTGTCAGTCCTGATAAACTCACAGGCAAATCTTTGCCACCTGAGTTTTTCTTCTCCTGTGTTCACTCCTGTGGATTTTAGATGCCAAAGGAAACCCTGCAAGTGACTGCAAAAAAAAATGCTGATTTACACACATTGTTCACTCATGAAATCCTTAATTTGATAATAATTCATTCATATTTTTCAGTAAATCACACATTGATCAGAAATGTAGGGAAAGCTTACCTGTGTGTTGTGTGAGCAGATGATGGCTGGAGAATTGAGTGTGTCTGTCTTGACAGCGAGTCACTGAGAGATAAGGAGGGCTGGGGGAAACACACTCCTACCATGGACGACTGGGTTAATTCTGTTAATGCGGGATTTAAGGTGGCTGAGCTCTTGACTAAAATGAACCCCCGCATTCTAATTTTCTCTATTGGGACTAGACACCTAGAAATATCTACAGTATATGACCATGTTGAGTTCATTCCCCTGTTGTTATTATTATTCATAAACATTAGGAATTCTAAGTTAGTGCCTTGTGGTGTCCAAGAATTATTCTTACTTAATAACTCAAATATTAATCAATCAACAGAGGTTCAATGCATTTCACTGTATCCTTGTAGTTACGACTGCTTTCTGAAACTGAGAAGTATTAGTAAGTGCTGCAGAATCATAAAAACTTAAACATTATTTTTTTTATACTGCCCAACAGATTAGCATACACGTTCTGGGAAATAAGGCCTCAGGTGGGTTTTCCGAGCTAGCTTTATGTTCTCCAGCAGTATGTCTGCTATTTCAGTTGTGGCCTTTCAATAGGTTTAGTTGACCACTGATCTAATTCCAGACAACCATCTGTCCAAGCAGTTTAACTCCCTCTTCCACCCACCTCAACCCAAATCCCACGTACGCCCCTCACACAATCACTGCTGGCCTTCTCGTTGACCTTCTTCCTGTCCTACATGAGCTTTCATCTCATCCTCCTTTCACTGACTCTTCTGTCACTAGCTTGTTTTTTTTTTTTTTAAGTGTTGCCTCTCATTCCTTACTCTGTAAAATTATGTTTTATTGTTGGGCGGCCAAATTCTGCTCTGTTTTACATATTGATCGACAAAAACATGCACGCTCTGTTTCTACCCAGCCTGTTGGCAGGCCCAGTCTTTTGGGCTGCCTCCATCTTTACTGTCCACAGCCATCGCCCTACAGGAGGGGTCACAGTAACTAGCAGATCAAACTTAGTTCATGACGCTGGCTGACACATTTACGTCATCAGTCTGTTTTATTTGTGTCTGCAAGTATTATCTTGATTATCTTAACTGTTTCTGGCTAACTTAGCTCGGAGGTGGGGGTATATAGTAAATTCCATGTGTTACAAATAAGGGTGAGTACTTTATATTGAGACAGGACAGATTGAAGAATTCATGCTATTAACCGCATTAGTAGCCCAACACTGTATGATTATCATTCATGTCTTATTTTTGGAGCAGGATTTTCTTTGCTATATATATATATATTCTAAGTGAGTCCATCTATTGGATTACTAATGCTCCGCCCCATCCCACCCAAGCCAATTACCATCATCATTATCCTGTGAGCGCCATGGCCAAAAGAATTACCCCCTCCCCTCGACAAAACAATCCCTGACATCTGACCTAGAGCTAGAGCAAGAAAGGATTTGTGGTCACTTTTGAAATGTTTTTCTGCTTGGGGAGAAGGTGAGGTGTGGCTGTCTAAGCGCAATCTTAACACAATGATAAAGTTGTAACGCCTTACGTTGCTTTGCAACACTAAATACGATGTATATATTTATTTAGCAGGCAGTAATAAAAAGTTGTACAGTAATGGGTGAAAGTTTGTCAATAGTAGAAGCCAACACATCTAAATATATCTGCAATTAGGACAGTTACTCACCACTGGCAACCTACCAGTTGGCTCGTCAGCATTATAGGCTATTAACTGGCAGTATCAAGTTTCACCTGTGTTACAGCATGAACCTGGGAGCCAGTTTAACGTCAGCACTGACATATATACTGCAAATTTGTCAACAACACTCCACTTGGTAACAGAAAAGTTTGTTTTAATTTTTTTGTGATTAATAATGATAATTTCCCAAATGAACAGCCCAATATCAATGTGAATTTTCAACTTGTCCTCTATAGCAGAACATAAGAGAACTCCCTACCATAGATAGTCATAAGGTTGAATAGTACACATCGAAAGGATTTAATGAAATAATATCCGACTCACTTCCAGAGACATGACAAATAGGAATGCTGAACAGGAAAATGCTTTAAAAAAGAAAGTCCATTCCCAGCCCAAACAATGCCTTGGTGGGACACAACTCCAAAAACAAAGACTGAAAGAGAGAGGAAAAGAGGAAGGGAGTTGTTCCTAGATAAATATCTGGTAATGGGTCATAATGATGCTTAATGACAGACAAGAGCTTCCTACTGAACACAAGGAAAGAGAGGAACAAACAAACGATGACAACAATCTTGACACTTGTGTCCACCATCTTGTGAGGCCTCAGGTTGTGACGTGTATGATAACCGTAACAGCACCCCATGTTCCCATTTCTAGTCCCATTGTCCAGAGAGAAAGTCAGCAGCACTTTTACGCTTTCACTAAAATCACTCACATACCTGGGGGGAAAAAAATCACATCTATGAATTTAAAGGATCTTCACTTAACACGACTTCCACTGACACCGAAACTCCTGATTCAACACTGAGGTAAGCAATGCTATATTTTTTATATAAAATACAACATTTTAATTTTTCTAAAGTCATCATTTTTCATCATTAATCGTCCCACTTTCTTGTGTAAGCAAGTGTCCTACTCTTTCATATTCATGTTTTATTTAACTGATTAAAAAGTAAAGATTTAGAGAGCATTTTTGTTTGTGTAACATGATTTTACAACCTGACCTGTTAAGAATTCACTGGGTTGAAGATAGTCAGGCTTATGTTAAACTGAATGCATTATAGTTATCATATAGTCTCCAATCTTTGTTGGTTCCAGTGTGAGAGACCGAAAAAAACAAAGATTTAATCTGTATTTGTACCTTAAACTTACTATCGCTTGGAGCTACTACCGATTAAAATCTCTTTAGTATTCTCTTATTCTTTTTTTCTAGCTTTTTAATCCAGTCCGCCAGTGGGTCACTCATTACATACTTATGCTGCGCAGCCACAAAGCTTTACTTTAAATTGTAGTGTATATACCAAAGTTCACAAAGATACCGAATATATCAGGCTGTATTTTTGGGGAAATGT